TCAGGTTTGCAGATGAACACTCGGAGGATGTCTCAAAAGCTCAAGAGCAGAATGAAGAACGACGAGAGACGTCCACCGAAGATTCATTCGGCGAAGATTTGCCAGACCATCCTCACAAGACTGTATTTCCCATTGCGGAAGATGTTGACCCAGTAGCGATACAGCGGGAACGACGCAGACGGATACTGGTGGCACAAGACGAGGAGCAGAAGTCGTTCAACATCAAGAAGGTGCTTCAGGGCCAAGCACAAGAGCTGAGTTACAAAGAAGCTCGAAATGCCTGGAAATACGCTGACCGGTTCGTGTTATTAGAAGACGGCGTGCTTCACTATCTTGGATTGAATCGTCGGTACGACCACGGTTGGCAAGAGGAGACCAAGCTGCGGCTTGTGGTACCGACAACGATGATTCAAGAGGTCTTGCAGAACTGTCACGACTCGCTGGAAGGAGGACATCAAGGTGTGGTGAGAACGTTCCATCGCGTTAAGTCCGATTATTATTGGATCGGCTTGTACGCTGACGTGGAGAAGCATGTGAAGTCATGTCCAGATTGCAGCTCGAGTAAAAGCCGTCCGCAGCTTCGTGGATACTCACCTGGCAACGTACTAGCCGAACGACCTTTCCAGATCGTCTCGATGGATTTTGTGATCCCACTACCGAAATGTCGCAGGGGCAACACGGCGTTGCTCCTATTTCAGTGCTCGTTCACGGGATTCGTTATTGCCAAGGCTATGTCAGATACGACTGCACTGAGTGTTGCCCAAGTGTTCGAAGAATGTGTGTACCGACGGTTCGGAGCCCCATCATTAATACGGCATGACCGCGACCCACGCTTCATGAGCGAGGTGTTCCAAGCGTTCGCAGAGATGATGCAGTCAAGATCACGAGCGACTTTGAGCTATCGGCCACAGGCTAATGGACAGCAGGAACGCTCGGTGAAGTCAGTGATGGGGTCCGTACGGGTGTACGCGGAAGACCCTCTACAGCAAGATTGGGACGAAATCGCGGAGAAGCTAGTATTTGCTATTAATACTTCTCAAGACACTACGAGGAAGGAAACGCCGTTTTACCTCGCTCATGGTTGGGATGCGCAGTCGACGTTGAGGGCAATGTCGTCATCACTCAAAGGAGGACTCGGCAAGCAGTCTGACGCACTAGCGTGGCGGCGTGAGATCAATCGACAACATGAGGTCGCCCTCACTATGGCCAAAGATTATCAGGCTGTAGAAAAGAGCGAAGGGCTAAAAAGCATAATGATGCCCTGAGTCGACTGGAAAAAGCCGCTGTACCTCAACAAAGTGGAAATGAACACTCGGCGGACCCTCCAGAAGCTTCGGAAGAGATGGACGATCCTGCAAGAGCCCCACCGAGATCTCTTTTTGAGATTGGGAGCCGGGCGTGGCTGTACATGGAACGCGTCAAACCGGGCTTGACGAAGAAATTAGCTCACCGATGGCATGGACCTTTTCGGATCAAGCGCAAGGTGGAAGCGTTTGCGTACGATCTGGAACTGCCAGACCGAAGTGGGTATCGCTTCCACCCAGTGGTGCATGTGTCGAGACTCAAGGCTGTCAACGAATTCAACAGTCGACCGAACACTCGGTTAGTACTAGACGCGACTAATGAAGCAAGACCCGATTTCGACGAGGAGCTGCTGCCTGAAGACAGCTGTGAACCAGATCAAGTTGCCGGCGAATATAAAGTCGAGGCCATCCTCGACGACAGAACACCACTGTCGACGAGCACGGAGCGTGCTGTACGCGAGTTCAAAGTCAAGTGGGTGGCTATGAAGATCCAACTTGGGAACCATCATCCAACTTGTCATGTGGAGGTCTGCTGTACGACTATTTGCGAGCCAAGAAGAGCGATAATCGGCTGCAGATGGCGCAAGTGGCGGACGAAGACTAGCGTGACTGGATCACGTGTGAACTGTCCACAGGGCGATGCAGCCTGTGGTAACAGACGAAAAACGTTACTGCAACAACAAATTGTATATGCATTTGAAGAACAACATGAACATGATTACGCTGTGGAAGTGGATTAAGAATAAGAAAACATGAATGCCGACCGGAGAGCGACCACTGCAAACGAAGTCACGCGGGACACCTCAACAGTTAGCTGAGATGCTGGAGAACGTCGTGGAACATGCAGCGAGGACATCATCGAAACCAACAGCAGTCTCGAGGCGACGTTGAGTGTGTACATCGCCGTGGAGAGGAGGCGCAACGCTGAGCTGCACTTGGTGACGTGACATTGCAGTCAAGTACGGAATTATCGAGGTCATCATGTGATCGACCGATGCCTCCGTACTTTCAGCCAGCATAGCGCGCAGCGAATCTTCGGTGAGTGGTGGTGTACCACCAGCAGGCGCAGGAGGAGCAGCAGGAGCCATCTCCGCGGATTCAGCGACGACGGGGAGTGCTGCAGGAGCTACCGCAGGGAGTGAAGAGTCTGGGCAGGAAGCGCCGAAGGACCAGTTGATGATGCCGCTGTCGGAGGAAGTGTAGCAGACCGAGGGACGTTCGAACCCTCGGCCTTGCCCTCCTGAGAAACAAGTCGAGTAATGCGAGATGATGAGCAAGGTACCGATGATTCAAAAGAAGGATGGGCTTACGTACCTCCAGCTGCTCACGCTCGCGACGTCTACGAGGATTGAGACGCTGAAACGCGTCGGACACGACTCGATTCAGACGCTTGGACATACGGTGGCGAGATGGTGAATTGAAGAATGAAGAAATGTCACAACGGGCACCAGTACCGTGGCTTCCATTGCGACAGGGGCAGTTGTGGTGTAGTGATTTCTCCGTAGTTGCGGATTATCACCCGTCGACAAAGACGAGACACCGCCCAAGTTGTTCAAGCGACGAACCCTCGGTCAGGTGATGTACGGAGACGCCAAGGTGCCAGGGACTCGACGGCGTCACCTCCGAACGTTCAACGAGTATTGGATACGGGCATATGTCACTGAATCCAGGCTGTCCTTATTATTAATAATGGACTGGCCGGATTCGCATTCAGCGGACCATCTACGGTACGAACCCTCAGTGGCGGTTGGGATGAGTTCGCAGAAGACTCAGCGACCCTTGGAAGGCACTTTCACCGTCTGGGACAGGGCGCGGACCGTTAAAGATGCTCATGCGACGGTGCAGACGACGCTTGGCATGCAAGAAGATCCATAACGGATCATTGTTCACTTGATATTTGTATACTTGATTAGGACTTCTTATTAGGAATAGACCCGAAAGGGTAAGCTTAAATACAGAACAGAATTTCCACTCAAGCACACAGAGCGACGTCCGGCTTCAAGGTAAGCGTCAGGTCAAGCTTGTTTGAGTGTGTTATGCCTGTCGGTGAACTCGAAGCTCTGTAGCGAGGGTTCATCCGGCAAGGCCAAGAGACTTTGTGTATTGGCCGATTATTATCGGGAGGTTTTACGTGACGGCTTATTGTTGCCTATTTGCACGACTGGGAGTGCTTGAATTGCCTCCCTTTTATTTCTTCCAGCCGAGTGTTGAACACTCGGTGATCTCGTAAAAGGCTTACCCGTGCCTGGTACCCTTCCGCTGTTGGGACCACGAGGATTCAAAACACCTGCTAGCTTTGCTCGTGCTAGTAGCGTGTTCTTATTTTACTGGTTGGCCTATATAAGTAGTTTACAAGGTCCAGTTTGTCCCGGTGCAAGGGCAGAACTGGGGTCTTCAGGTCCGCCCGAACGATCGTTTACTATCCTAGTAGACGTATTGTTGTGGGAACATCCTAACTACATCTGTAGCTAGAGTTCACGTGGGATTTCCAACACCACATTTGCATAGCACGAATTGGGCCACTTTTTACCTTGAAGCTCGACGGACTCCATCTATAGATCGCCTGCTCATGTCGCTCTTCTGACTTTTAGTTTATCTCTGCATTTGAGCGCCTAGGCTGTATACATGAATAGAACGCCCACGGGGCTCTCTATTTTAATTGAACGCTTAGGCGTCTAGTGCGCGGTAAGACGGTAGTAGTTTTTATTTAACGGGCCGTTAAATTTCCAAAATTCTGTGCTCCAACCTTAACACCATAATTAGTTATGGCATGACTAATTATAGTGAACGGTGTAGTGGGCTTCTGCAAGCAGGGAGCTCGAAAAAATAATATGCATAAGAATTAATCCTAATTATTTAATTTATGGCTGTCAACAATGGCAACTATAGTGAACAACAGCAAGGTCAAGTCATATTATTAATACAGCGTGGAGACGCGCTAAACGACGCGGAAAAATTAGCCTGCGCTGAATTTAGGTTGCCTGATCTCGAACGGTCGTCTTCAAGAGCCGCTGAGGAGTGTTCTATTGCGAGAGCGGCGTTCAAGAAACGCAAGGTCGTGAAGCGCGCGCACTACGTCGACGTCGCGTACATCCCGCCAACGTCTAACGAGTGTGAGTGCTTCTTCTCTCTCGCTAAGCTGGTGCTGTCTGATCTACGGAAGCGAATGTCTGTCTCCTGCCAGGCTCGAGATGATAATGTTTCTGAACTACAATCGTGATTTGTGGGACATGAGTGCGGTGGGGCCGGAGTAATGCAGATAATTGAATTACTTTTAAAGTATTAATTTGCTCAGCTCACGTCGATGTATTAATCTAAGTATTGCATTTTCGGGTTCCCTGGCTGCAAGTCACTTGTGTAGCTACATAATAGTAGTGAAAATTCTCTAAATACCACGCAAGATCCGGTAGCGTTTTGAGGCATACCGATTCATTCTCGTCTGCTCTATGTACAAAATATTGGTGAGCGTAGGGAGAGCCTTATTAAAAAATCGACTAAGTGAAAAGGACAAAAGCACTGAAGTGCACAAAAGTACTAGTAAAAATACTACTACGTGATGATTGACGATGGCTCAAAGATTTGTTAATATAAAAAATGTTCTCGTCTCTCTTGGCTAAGAGCGCGTGGGCATTAGGGCTTTTTACTGATGCGTCAATCTCGCAAAACGATACTCTCAACAAGTTGATGATGCAGGAACTACTGGTTCTTGCATTCAGGCGGCTTCTCCGTCGAATTGGCGCCGCCCTCCAGAGCGGGGAACTTCTTTTTGCCCCTACGCGGCTTGGGGGCCTCGTCGCCTGAAAGCGACTCCTCATCCGAGTCCTCATAGTCCGCATCCTCCTCTGGGTCGTAGTCCGAGTCATCGTCCTCCACAGCCTCGCCAGTGAACCACAGCAGGGCCTGGGGAATGATCGTCTCGTGGATCGTGAAGCCAATTTCAAAATCACCGCTCAGCTGGCGCATAATCATCTCGCTCTAAAATATTAAGATCAACAACCACATTACATCAGAAAACACCAATTCGCTCTCGCAATCACAACCACATGCACTTACGTCCTCATCGTCCTCCTCTGACGGCATCTCGACTGGCGTGAAGAACTGGAAGAAACTCTCGCAGGGCTCAGTGCGGCTCACGACGCGGGTCTCACCCTTGCCGCCCTTAGCACGCTGCTTGATCTTCTTGGTCACCTCACACAGGTTCTTGCCCTCCTTCCATACGATGACCGTACCCATCACATTGCGCAGCACAGCCTCGCCCAGCTCTGAGGCGTCGCCAATGTCGTACTCCTTAGTGAGGGTCTTGTTGGTGAAGAACGGGTTTTCAGAAAATTCAAGCGTTAGCTTGAATCCGTTGTCCTCCTCGTGGCTCGCTGAATGCACGTCCGTGAGGAACTCAAAGGCAGGCAGGTCACGCTCTTGAATGAGCTCGGCCAGCACCGAATGGTTCATGAAGGCGCGCAGCCAGAAGCCGGGCACACCCTTCACATCCTCCTCAGCCTCAGCCTGCTGAGGATCAGCAGCAGCCGTGACGGTCTCCACCTCCTTAGCACCCGAAACGATCTCAGCGCGCTGCTTATAAAAAGGCTGGTAGAGTTTTTCGTACTTCAGCTCCAGATCCTTACGTTCTTTCTCGAACTCCTCTTCCACCTCGGCCTGCGCCTCCTGCAACTTGCGCAGCGCATCCAAACGCAGCAGGACATTTTTAGGCAGGCTCGCCAAATCGTCCTCCCCCTCTTCGTCCTCAGCGGGGGCGTCGGCGCTCACAGATAGCTGCGCCACCTGTTCGGCCACACTATCCACGGGTTGGAAGCCACGTCCGTCGTGGTGGTCTACTTCTACCACGGTATCCTGCTCGGTAGTCACGGGCTTTTCAGACATTTTCTGCGTCTACTATAAAAGTGAGTGGCGAGGGGAGGTCGCTTCTTTCTGAAAATGACCCAATTTTGCACTTTTGGTTGGCTACGGAAGCGTCACCGGCTGGTCGATGTACAGATACAAAACACTACAGTACCGTGCTGTATGACACACTAAAATGCTGCACACTTTTCGACATCCTAGCCCCCTCCCTTAATCCGACCGACACAGCATGAGCAGTACCAACGGCAGTTCCGTGGCGAACACCAGCGGCGGCACCGTAGCTTCCAAGCGTCGCGTGGCATACTTCTACGACTGTAAAGCACGCGTTTTTCTTGCCGTGTTGAATACGGCGCGTCACTCGCTCTAACTGACTCACGCTGCGCGTTTGTTGCCGTGACAGCGGAGATTGGCAATTACCACTACGGACAGAACCACCCCATGAAGGTGACGCTTCTCAAAAGTAGCTGACTGCTGATATCTAGACAATCGTTAGTCTCTGACTATGTAAATGTTTCTCTGTCCTTGAAGCCACATCGCGTGCGAATGGCACACAACCTCATCACCAACTATGGACTCACCAAGCACATGGAAGTCTTCGTACGTCTGCGATATTGCAACGTCCTTTTTAAACGTAGAAGCTAATGTAGTTATCTTCTGTGTATTGAATTGTTTTGCTATTGCTCAGCGTCCTCGGCTGGTGGACTGGATGGAACTCACCCGCTTCCACTCGGACGATTATATCCACTTCTTGCGGCTCGTGACACCCGACAACATGCACGAGTATCTGCGCCAATTGCAACGCTTCAACGTGGGTGAGGATTGCCCAGTCTTTGATGGTCTCTTCGAGTTCTGCCAACTCTACGCGTCGGCATCGATCGGCGGCGCTGCTAAATTGAACGCGGGATCGGCCGACATCGTCATCAATTACTCCGGTGGTCTACATCACGGCAAGCGCTCAGAAGCGTCCGGTTTCTGCTATGTGAACGACTGCGTGCTCGGTATTCTGGAGCTGCTAAAAGCCCACCAACGCGTCCTGTACATCGATATCGACATCCACCACGGTGACGGAGTGGAGGAGGCATTTTACACGACGAACCGGGTGATGACTTGCTCATTCCACAAATACGGCGAGTTCTTCCCCGGCACGGGCGATATTAAAGATATCGGCTATGGAGACGGCAAGCATTACTCTGTCAACTTTCCGTGCCGCGACGGCATGGACGACGAGAGCTTTACCGGTATCTTTCGCAGCGTCATTGCCAAGGTAATGGAGCATTTTGCGCCGGGTGCTGTGCTGCTGCAGTGCGGCACAGACTCGCTTTCTGGTGACAGACTTGGCAGCTTCAACCTGTCAGCCAAGGGCCACGCCGACTGCGTGGCGTACGTCAAGAGCTTTAACATCCCCACTCTTGTTGTCGGCGGCGGTGGTTATACATTGCGGAATGTGGCACGTGCCTGGTGCTACGAGGCATCGCTGCTGGTGGACGTTGATATCCCAGATGCGATGCCCTACAACGACTACTTTGAGTACTATGGACCTGAGTACCGCCTACACTTGCCCGTGAGCAACATGGAAAACCTCAACACACCCGCTTACCTGGACGAAATTAAGCGTCAGATCCATGAGAACCTCCGCCAAATCGAACCTGTTCCCAGTGTGCCTTTCACAGTCGCACCACCGTCAGCTCGAATTCAAGAGGAGAAGGAAGCTGCCGCGCGCGACCGTGAGGATGACGATCAGCACATGATGGATGTGTCGGGCGAACGTCAAGACCAACAAGAACTCAAGCAGAGCGACGCTCCCCGTCATCCTGTTGAATTTTACGACTAACCTACGAGCCACCAAGTAGCCCACGCGATACAAACGAGAAGCAGCTGTACAGCTGCTTTGGTGGACGTAAGATATTAATAGCTTGCACTCGTGGAAAAGTGTGCAGTTCTGACTTGCCGTTTTCTCAATAATACTTCGCAGTATTATTAGGAACTAGCCGAGCACGCGGCGGTAGCTTGGGTTTTATTCAAGCTGTTTGTCTTCCCGCCTCCGCTTCGCTTCGGGTAGATAATTATTGCAAAAACTATGAGCCCCAAGTCGACTTCTTTAATTTCATTTTCATAAATCTGGGTTTAATTTAGACCATTCGCTACAAAATGCTGAGCTCCCAGTAAGCCGTGCAATTATTCCAACAAAAACCTACGCACCTAGCATCATACTTACCATTCTTAAAAAAAGATTATTTTCATGTTGTGATCTTGACACAGTCTCTTTATTATTGTTTGCTATCTGTCAGAATTACCTGCACTTCAAATAGCATGTCTACAAACGCCACACAATATATTTAGCTTTGCGTCGTGCTCGATATCATAGGCCGTTTCTGAGCCGCTATGAAACTTAGCTCGCATCAATGCAAAAGATATTATTGTAATGGCATGTCCAGTTTCCACTAAGTACCCGTTTGTACTGCCTGTTTGAGCTTGTAATTAACTGAATTGTGAGGAGAAATCGTAAGGCAGGTTTCTGACGATATAGAGATGTGTGTTGATTGGTTAAAATACATGCGATAAGTGGCGTCGGTGGGTAACTTGATCATAAAACACTAGAAGGCCTGCAACTAGCAAGGTAAGATGTCTTGGCACCCCGCATCCTATCCTACCGTCGGGTCACTCCGCTTGGCGCGTTTGCGCTTTCGAAAAGGTTCTGACAGTGCGTTCGGATTGTCTGCTTTCATCGCTTCACGTATAAGGCGAGTGGGAGTACTCACCTTAAGCTGCGTGTTCCTTCGAGCCCGAATGGTGGGGAGTAACTTGAGTCTGTTCATGCCTTGTGCGAATAACTTCTCAGCCTCTGTCTCTGTGTGCATCTTTGTTATTGCAGACCCAGTCGCTTTTTCGATCTCAACCGTGATATGGTGTACGAACATTTTCCATTCTGAAAGCGTGTTGGCTTTTTGCCGGCTTGACAGATCACGGCTTGTTATTCGGTAAAGCGGTGGGTATCCTAGCGTTTTGTTTCCGAACCACCATAACATCCACGCCGTGAGCGGGTCTGTGCTGGGAAACTCAAAGTCAGCTGGTAGGAAATGGAACTTGCCGCCCCAGAAGTGTACATTTTGACTGCTTTCTGAAGGAGAATTTGTGGGCTGAGTTGCTGAACATGGCACACCTATGCCAGCATCTGCAAGTAGCTGGCGTATTGTTTGTGCTAACACGTCCCGCGTGATATTACCGGCCGCAACACCCTTTTCATCGAGCAAAATTTCAACTCGACTGAGCAAAGTTTCCGGTAATTGTTTAATTGACTCGCGTAGGTCCTCCAATTGTTTGTAAATCTCAATATGAGGTGGGATACCAGTAGATTGCATCCAAGGTAAGTTGGACGTTATAACCTGCTGCTTCAGGCTAGTCATTACGGAGTCGTCTCTGAATAAAAATGTTGAAAGTAGCGCGTGGTTAGAAGGTAGTTGCTGTCGAAGAAAATCCGCGTGGTTCACTAGTGCAGCGACACACAACTGCAGAGTTTGTCCTAGTTTCCCGTCAGCAGCAAGAGAGGGGAACATCCGTCGAACACACTCATCAACCTGGCTGTAACTGGGGTCGACGAAATGAGGCTGTAACGAGGAAAATTTACTGCTGTTAAGCGGTAGGCCTGCTACAACACGGCCGAGATACTGGTCCCCTGCACTTTCATAGCGAAAATATCTGTCTTGGACACTTCCAAGGGACCTACCACAGCGAAGACAGATACTTACGATGGAGGGGCCACCAGTGGAGCCACCCGATGCATATGATGCCACTCCTTTGCGAATTGAGTGTGTACCGAGGAATTTTGCATCAGAGTCATCCTTGAGGCACTGTGATAGCGCCTTACCGAGCCGTAGTTTTTGATTAGAGCCTGGAAAAAGGGCACCGGGTTGAAGCCGTGGGTGACACGCTAAATAAACCCCTAATGCAGTCAGCCAGCACGTCACAGGCGACCCAGATTTGCGTAGATATGTCGTGGATCTTTAGGGCCGCTTCCTTCTTGGCTGGTTTTCGTTTTGTGTAGCACAATGCCGATGCTGTCGTCGGCACCCACCAAGTGCGAGGTTTGGATAGTCTCCACAGATTTTGATCGGCACATTAGGTTCCACTGCGTTGTCAGGAATAAATGGGCAAACCCACCATCATCCCGAGCTAGAGTCGACTTGCACACCGCTACGTATCGTGAATATGTAAGTGGCCGTTTGCCAGATTCGCGTCCTTGACCGGTTTGGTCACGATCAGCCTCTAAGCGCTTTAGACCAGAAAAAAGCGTTGTCATTTTCTCGCCGTACACGCTTGGGAGGGGCAACTGGTGGCGTCGATACAGATCCTTCATTGCGCTCCTGTACCCTCCGAGGGTACCAGTCGTCAGTTTATCTTGCTTGTCGACGAGGAACGCCTCAAAGCCCTTGGCCTTGAACTTCCTCGGGTCGAGATTGCCGGACGCGTCGAAGAAGCGTTGAGGGTTGGCTATGCTTTTGTTTGCCAACACCCACTGGCGAATTCCTTTTAGATAGCTGCGGTATCGGGCTATGGTGCCGTCAGAAATGCATCGTGCTCGAACGCCATCCCCATCTAATCTCTCTTGGCCAGGTGCGTCCACTTCCTGGCGCTGATCACGAGCGATTCCGTGTGAGCTCATCGAGCGCGTTTCTGCCAATGATATCACTGATTTCTACGTAAGGCAGATTTCTTACGCTGCCCCATACAAAGGTCGTTGATGCCCACCCCAGTGATTAGCCAATAGAAACCTGAGCAATGCTTTTCATCATTCTTAGAAATCGTAAGACCGCTGCCTTACGCATGACCTCCAGCTTGTATTGCTGCCTTACGAAAGCGCATGAATGAATTGTGAGGAGAAATCGTAAGGCAGGTTTCTGACGATATAGAGATGTGTGTTGATTGGTTAAAATACATGCGATAAGTGGCGTCGGTGGGTAACTTGATCATAAAACACTAGAAGGCCTGCAACTAGCAAGGTAAGATGTCTTGGCACCCCGCATCCTATCCTACCGTCGGGTCACTCCGCTTGGCGCGTTTGCGCTTTCGAAAAGGTTCTGACAGTGCGTTCGGATTGTCTGCTTTCATCGCTTCACGTATAAGGCGAGTGGGAGTACTCACCTTAAGCTGCGTGTTCCTTCGAGCCCGAATGGTGGGGAGTAACTTGAGTCTGTTCATGCCTTGTGCGAATAACTTCTCAGCCTCTGTCTCTGTGTGCATCTTTGTTATTGCAAACCCAGTCGCTTTTTCGATCTCAACCGTGATATGGTGTACGAACATTTTCCATTCTGAAAGCGTGTTGGCTTTTTGCCGGCTTGACAGATCACGGCTTGTTATTCGGTAAAGCGGTGGGTATCCTAGCGTTTTGTTTCCGAACCACCATAACATCCACGCCGTGAGCGGGTCTGTGCTGGGAAACTCAAAGTCAGCTGGTAGGAAATGGAACTTGCCGCCCCAGAAGTGTACATTTTGACTGCTTTCTGAAGGAGAATTTGTGGGCTGAGTTGCTGAACATGGCACACCTATGCCAGCATCTGCAAGTAGCTGGCGTATTGTTTGTGCTAACACGTCCCGCGTGATATTACCGGCCGCAACACCCTTTTCATCGAGCAAAATTTCAACTCGACTGAGCAAAGTTTCCGGTAATTGTTTAATTGACTCGCGTAGGTCCTCCAATTGTTTGTAAATCTCAATATGAGGTGGGATACCAGTAGATTGCATCCAAGGCGAGTTGGACGTTATAACCTGCTGCTTCAGGCTAGTCATTACGGAGTCGTCTCTGAATAAAAATGTTGAAAGTAGCGCGTGGTTAGAAGGTAGTTGCTGTCGAAGAAAATCCGCGTGGTTCACTAGTGCAGCGACACACAACTGCAGAGTTTGTCCTAGTTTCCCGTCAGCAGCAAGAGAGGGGAACATCCGTCGAACACACTCATCAACCTGGCTGTAACTGGGGTCGACGAAATGAGGCTGTAACGAGGAAAATTTACTGCTGTTAAGCGGTAGGCCTGCTACAACACGGCCGAGATACTGGTCCCCTGCACTTTCATAGCGAAAATATCTGTCTTGGACACTTCCAAGGGACCAACCACAGCGAAGACAGATACTTACGATGGAGGGGCCACCAGTGGAGCCACCCGATGCATATGATGCCACTCCTTTGCGAATTGAGTGTGTACCGAGGAATTTTGCATCAGAGTCATCCTTGAGGCACTGTGATAGCGCCTTACCGAGCCGTAGTTTTTGATTAGAGCCTGGAAAAAGGGCACCGGGTTGAAGCCGTGGGTGACACGCTAAATAAACCCCTAATGCAGTCAGCCAGCACGTCACAGGCGACCCAGATTTGCGTAGATATGTCGTGGATCTTTAGGGCCGCTTCCTTCTTGGCTGGTTTTCGTTTTGTGTAGCACAATGCCGATGCTGTCGTCGGCACCCACCAAGTGCGAGGTTTGGATAGTCTCCACAGATTTTGATCGGCACATTAGGTTCCACTGCGTTGTCAGGAATAAATGGGCAAACCCACCATCATCCCGAGCTAGAGTCGACTTGCACACCGCTACGTATCGTGAATATGTAAGTGGCCGTTTGCCAGATTCGCGTCCTTGACCGGTTTGGTCACGATCAGCCTATAAGCGCTTTAGACCAGAAAAAAGCGTTGTCATTTTCTCGCCGTACACGCTTGGGAGGGGCAACTGGTGGCGTCGATACAGATCCTTCATTGCGCTCCTGTACCCTCCGAGGGCACCAGTCGTCAGTTTATCTTGCTTGTCGACGAGGAACGCCTCAAAGTCCTTGGCCTTGAACTTCCTCGGGTCG